GCAAAAGAGATTTTGACTTTTCGTACTTGGATTGGATGGAATCCTTTTATGTCGGCCAACAGAACAAGTTGTAGTAAGTTTTTTATTTTTTGAATACAAGCGATAGTGTAAATGACATGGGATGGGAGGGGATTTCACAACCTTCTATCACCCTTATAAAAATGCTATAATTGCTTAAAAGCCTAAAAGGTGGTTCAAATCCACTTGACCACCTTAATTCCACCTGTACACTGAGCCAGCCACTACTTCAAATATAAGAGCATGTCCACCCCAAAGGGCTAAGGCAAGGGCTAAGGCAAGGCAAGGGCTGCTACTATTCACATGAATAGTGGCAGCGTTGCATTTTTTGATTCCACCCCAAAAGGCTAGGGCAAGGGCAAATACTATTCATTGTACTTTATTTCCTATTTTTTTTATACTTTAAACCATTAATTTTGGTTGCCATGTGTCCATAATTTTTCGGATGAGATTTTCGGTTGCCACGTGTCTTATTTCAGATAAAATTTTCGGATATTTATTTTTTTAAAATTATAATCTCATATTTCAGATAAAATTTTCACCCTCTAAAATTGCGCCACGTGTCCCATGTCAGATAAGATTTTGAGATTTTTTTTTTTACAGATATAATCTCAAATTTCAAATAAGATTTTCACCCTCTAAAATTGCGCCACATGTCCCCTGTCAGATAAGATTTTCAGATTTTTTTTAAAAAAATTATAATATCATATTTCAGATAAGATTTTCACCCTATAAAATTGCGCCACGTGTCATCTTTATCTTCTAAATCCCTCTATAAAACTACACCCTCAACTCATACCTCACACACCATATCTTCTCTATTCTTTCATTTCTCAGATTTTACAAAACACTTTCTACTCTCAATGTCTAACCTGAGGAGGGTGTTGGAGAGGCAAGAGCGAGAAGAGGAAGAAATCAGGCGCAGACGTGCTGAAGAAGATCGTGAGGCCGATCAAGAGGAGGAAGAAATGGTTGTAGCGACGTGTATGCTTAATGAATCAAGGCAACACCACCGTCGTCGTGCCCCGAATGTGGACAAACGTAGGGAGTCTCGGGGTAAGAATCTCTTGGAAGATTACTTTATCCCAAATTCGTTATATCCTGTTTCTAAGTTTCGAGAGAGATATAGAATGCACCCACATTTGTTCCAAAAAATCATGCATGATATTTG